ATGGAGTCCACGGCTATCATCGCAGCGGTGTAACTTGTCTCCACGAATTCAGACAGCAGGAAATTCCCTGCTGATCAGGTTTTCCTGAATGTCATCTACAGGAACTTTGATTTTAATAATAAAGAAAAATCGGCAATCTGGAATTAAAGATAAATTGTAACCAGGTTATTTCTATAAGTTTAGTCTTCTACACACTTGAAAAGAGAATAAACAAGCTTTACCCATCTAAATAATTGTAAATATTACTAAAATGCATACTTGTATAATGATGTTCATGATTTTCCTGCAAGAGAGATCAACTAAAACCCTTGTGCATATTTTAAACAAAGATGATTTTTCTTCCTAGAACTGAGTGGAAACACCGAAGTATTCACTTGGCATATTTCAGATATAATAAATCACGCTATTTATCTATTCTGGGCCTAGTCCTAAAAAATCCACAATCAAGCTTCTGCTAACTTATGGGAAGAACGAAGACTCCCCCCCCCCACCGCCAAATAAAGGAGGGTGGCATTTCCTAGGCATCTGCATTTCCCTAGAAGAGAGCAAAGCCTGGGTACAGCATTGAAAGCCTCTCCCAAGCACTCCTTCTGAAGTGCTGCAGCACAGCAAAGATAATAACGAACAGATGGACTTTCATTCCTAAGTGGTGAATAACCTCTGCGTGCGGTTGTGCTTTGGTGAACGTGGAAGCAGGGAAACGCACTCTCCAGCGAGGTATGAAAGGAAAGTTCTACGGCAGAAGGTAAGCACAACGTATGGAAATAACGCGCAGGTGCTACGTTGAACTTCGCCACTGGAATTGTGACACCCAAAAAATCCGGAACACGCTGAATTTTGTTAGTCCACGAGCGTGGGAAAGAATTAGGAAATTCGACGAGCAAAAGAGCAGAGACCTTAGGACCTAAAAAAAGGAAGCGACTTGCCATATAACACTTCCTTTGTAACCAATTCTCATCAACGGCTGAACAGTATGAAAGACTTCCCTGCTGGAACGCTCTTTTAAGGAAGGGGGATGGGAACCAAGTTCAAGTTAGTATTTTAATAGGGAAGAAAAAAAATTATACTACAGTTTACACAAGTATTGTAAAACCTGCTAGCTCCTCCTTCTACTCTTGGTCTGTGGTTCTTCTCCTGGTCTAGGTCCTCCATATAATGTGCCTCAACAAGTGTTCACTAACCTCTCCTCCACACCGTTGACACCTGCATAGCTCAATACCACTACAGCCCAGATGCCTGGCCAATACCTTTTCAAATCACATCTCCATCTTAAGTAACACTTCCATCACAGATGTCCTTTTTCTGAAAAAAAAAAGGACAATCAGGACAAGAAACCTTCTCTTATCAACCATTTGGCCCACAAGTCCTGCTAGGAACCAGCTAAACAAGCACAGGAAGAGAAGCTGTCAGCAGACCAGGAAAGCATCTCGGACATCATCACCA